GGAAACAGAAATCCACAGTGGCTAACTGATTTGTCCACAGAACAGTAAGTGTAGTGACTGACCTCCAGGACCCAAACCTGCAGCCCTTCTGTGCCGGTGGTGACTCGCCCTTAGCACAGTACCTGGCAGCAGGCGATGCCACCCATTCACTAAGGCATGGCAAGCAGCCTCTCTGAGTCACACCGTTCTGGGTGGTGCACAAAGCGGGAGTTCTCACCCTCATGGAATGCGCGCTCTGCCTCGAGAGACAGACACTTTCTCTCATATCCCGTGTCCAGTTGCAGGCAAAGCCACAATCATTGCTCACCTCCCAGTCACACTCAGGGTAAAGAGCAAGGGTCTTTGATTTACAAGTTCATGCCCGCCACCCACCTCTCCCACTCTCTCTGCCACTCTGACCGCAGCGCAGCTCCTCAGACACAGGCACATTCCTGCCTCAGGGGCCTTTGCATTTGCTCTTCCCTCTTCCTCTATATGCTTGCGTGGCTTGCCTGCTTGTCTTCAGGTCTTTTTTTTTTTTTTTTTTTGAGACGGAGTCTCGCTTTGTCGCCCAGGCTGGAGTGCAGTGGCCGAATGTCAGCTCACTGCAAGCTCCGCCTCCCAGGTTTACGTCATTCTCCTGCGTCAGTCTCCCGAGTAGCTGGGACTACAGGCGCCCGCCACCTCGCCCGGCTAGTTTTTTGTATTTTTAGTAGACACGGGTTTCACCGTGTTCCTGACCTCATGATCCGCCCGTCTCGGCCTCCCAAAGTGCTGGGGTTACAGTCCTGAGCCACCGCGCCTGGCCTTTTTTCTTTTTTTTTTTTTTTTTGATTCTCGCCCTGTCGCCCAGGCTGGAGTGCAATGGCACCATCTCGACTCACTGCAACCTCCGCTTCCCGGATTCAAACGATTCTCCTGCCTCAGCCTCCCAAGTAGCTGGGATTACAGGCGCCCACCACCATGCCCAGCTAATTTTTGTATTTTTTTAGTAGAGATGGGGTTTGACCATGTTGGCCAGGCTGATCTGGAACTCCTAACCTCAGGTGATCCGCCTGCCTCAGACTCCCAAAGTGCTGGGATTACAGGCGTGAGCCACTGCACCTGACCGCCTTTTTAAAAAAATTAATTAATTTGTATTTATTTATTTTCAGGTCCTCCTTTAACAATTTTTTTTTTTTAATAGAGATGGGGTTTCGCCACGTGGCCCAGGCTGGTCTCAAACTCCTGAGCTCAAGCCATCCAACCTCCTCAGCCTCCCAAAGTGCTGGGATTACAAGCATGTGCCACTGTGCCTGGCCACCCTCAGGTCTTGAAGTGTGCTGGAGACGTAGTAGGTGCTCAAAAAATACATGCCGAAGAAGTGAATGTGAAGAAAGGTAACTGCAGATGGTGGCAGGCATGGGCTATGCTGGACTTCAAGCTGGGGAAAGGGGATGGAGCATTGCCACTCTGAGTTGCTGGAAGCCGAGCCAGGCGCCTCTAAGGAATGGACATGTGAGCAGACACCTGAGTATACAAGGGCATGAGCTGCATGCTCATTACCATGCCCAGGCCTCAGCCACCTGCTCCTAGATGCCCACTCCCTGTAGATGCAGGCAGCCCAGTTGCTGGGAGCAGGGCTGGGCTGGAGAGGGACGCCAAGGATATCTCACCTCACAGAGGTAGGAGCAGATGGCTCAGGCTCCAGTTTCTACCCTAACCTGACCTGAGCCCAGCCCAGGGGAGGGAAAACTGGGCCCAGCTGGCTGCTCATTCCTTTGAGAGCTCCCAAGAGGGTGAGACAGAGGGGCCAAGCCAAGCATTGGAATCAAGCTACACTGCCTGCGTTTGAACTATATATATAGCATGAACAGACTAGAACTAGACTACGTGTGTGTGTGTGTGTGTGTGTGTGTATGTGTGTGTGTCGGAGTCTTGCTCTGTTACCCAGGCTGGAGTGCAGTGATGCAGTCTCAGCTCACTGCAACCACCGCCTCCTGGGTTCAAGCAATTCTCAAGCCTCAGCCTCCCGAGTAGCTGGGATTACAGGCATGCGCCACGATACTCAGTGATTTTTTATATTTTTCACCACATTGGCCAGGCTGGTCTTGAACTCCTGACCACAAGTGACCCTCCCGCCATGGCCTCCCAAAGTGCTGGGATTACAGGTGTGAGCCACTGTGCCTGGCCTGTGTGTGTGTTTTGAGACAGGGTCTTGCTCCGTCAACCAGGCTGGAGTGCAGTGGCTCGATCACAGCTTACTGCAGCTTGGACTTCCCGGGCTCAAGTGATTCTCCTGTCTCAGCCTCCTGAGTAGCTGGGACTACAGGTGAGTGCCACCATGCCTGTCTAAGTTTTAATTTCAAGTAGAGATGGTCTCAGTATGTTACCCAGGCTGATCTCAAACTCTTCAACTCAAGTGATCCTCCTGCCTTGCTTCCCTCCCAAAGTGCTGGGATTACAGGCATGAACCACTGCACCCAGCCCATGCTCTATGTTTACCCTTCGTCTTCTTACCTAATCCCTCAGTTTCCTCATCTGTGAAGTAGGGGTTGGAACAGTACCTACTGTCATAGACTGAATGTTTGTGTTTTCCCCAAACTCCTGTGCTGAAGCCGAGTGATGGTATTTGAAGGTAGGACCTCTGGGAGGTCACCAGGTGATGCGGGAGGAGCCTTCATGAACGGGATTTGTGCCCTTATAGAAAGGGACACAACGTGAGATGATCTTGCTCTCAGCCATGCGGGGAGGCAGGGCGGCTGTCAATGAGCCAGGAAGCGGCGCTTCTGACACCGGATCTACCAACACCCCCATCTCAGACTTCCAGCCTCCAGGACCGTGAGAACTGTGTTTCCTGTTAAAGCCACCCTCTCTATATTTGTTACAGCAGCCCACACTCATAAAGACATTTATCTTCTTTTTTTTTTTTGAGATGGAGCCTGGCTCTACCACCCAGGCTGGAGTGCAATGGCACAATCGCGGCTCACTGTAACCTCTGCCTCCGGGCTGAAGTGATTCTCCTGCCTCAGCCTCCAAGTAGCTGGGATTACAGGCACCCACCACCATGCCTGGCTAAATTTTGTATTTTTAGTAGAGACGGGTTTCACCATGTTGGCCAGGCTGGTCTCAAACTCCCCTCGGGTGATCTACCTGCCTCGGCCTCCCAAAGTGCTGGGCATGAGCCACCATGCCTGGCTTGACACTTATCTTTTATATCTATATACTTTTTTCTTTTTTGAGACGGAGTCTCACTGTGTCGCCCAGGCTGGAGTGCAGTGGTGCAATCTTGGCTCACTGAAACCTCTGCCTCCCGGGTTCAAGTGATTCTTGTGCCTCAGCCTCCGGAGCAGCTGGGATTACAGGCGTGCACCACCGTGCCCAGCTCATTTTTTAATTTTTAGTACAGACAGGGTTTCACTATGTTGGTCAGGCTGGTCTCGAACTCCTGACCTCAGGTGATCTACCTGCCTCTGCCTCCCAAAGTGCTGGGATTACAGGCGTGAGCCACCATGACCGGCCTAAAACACCTACCTTTTATTTTTAAAAAACCCAACACATTATCAGTACTTCATGCCAGACACCATTCTAGGAAAGTAACTCATCTCTCACATCATGGGTAGCTGTCATGGGTAGCTGTCATTTACAGATGAGGAAACTGAGGCACGGAGGTGAAGCAACTTTCCTGAGGTCACCCTGCTACTAAGTGACACAGCTGGCATCTAGTGCAGCAGGCTGGCTCCAAGTCTACGCCCCTCACCCCTCAGATGCTGCTCACCAAGCCGGAGGGGCTGTGGGATCGAGTTAGAACACAGGACGCCCCTGGCAGCAGCGCCCTCTGTGTGAAACTACAGCGGAGGAGGCCATATTGCGGCGGTATGCAGGAAGGTGGGGGCACCTCCCTCTTCAAGAACCAGCATCTGAGCTTTTTGGGGAAACATGTAGCTCCCTGAATGCCATCCCCAGAGCCCCCCTCAGTCGGCCTCCCCTCAGGCACCAAGGCTGGCGGAGGCCATCACTGTCCATTTCCCTCGCTCCTCACAGAGGAAATGCTGGGCGGTGCCGCGCAGTCAGGGCTGAGGACCAGGACAGAGGTTGGGTGGGGCGTGTCAGCATTCCTCCAACGGGCAGGTCTCAGCGCTCCTCCCACTGCTCCACTCCTCTGCAGGGCCCAGGCCCCTTGGCCCTGGGACACATCTCTCACCATGGAGTTCGACCTGGGAGCAGGTGAGCTCCTGGGGAGTGTGGATTGGAGGTGGAGGGGGCGGGAATCAAGCCCAGAAGCTGCCCGCACCAACCACCCAACTTCCCTCCACAGCTCTGGAGCCAGCCTCCCAGAAGCCAGGTGTGGGGGCGGGCCATGAGGGAGACCCCAAGCTCAGTCCCCACAAAGTTCAGGGCCGGTCGGAGGCGGGGGCAGGTCCGGGTCCAGAGGTAAGTCTCCTCATCACCGGCTGCGGACGGGCGGGAGGGGTGGGGTTGCCCCTGACCCCAGGGTCCTGCCTTGGGCTTCCAACTTCGGGGGCTGGGTAAGGGGCACCGCCTCACTGCCGCACCTCCATCCAGCAAGGACACCACAGCTCTTCCGACTCCAGCAGCAGCTCCAGCGACTCGGACACGGATGTGAAGGTAAGGGGTTCTCGCCAGCGTCCCCAGGCCCGTGCCCTGCACCGCAGAGAAGCGTCCCAGCGCAGGGGCTGGTGGGGAGGGTGCAGGGGGCGGTTCCTCTGTCTCCTTCCAGCCCAGAACCATCTCTTCTCTCCCATCCCTGCCCTCGGTCCCACAGCCCCACACCGCTGGCTCCAAGCAGCACGAGAGCACCCCCGGCAAGGCCAAGAAGCCCAAAGTGAAGAAGAAGAAAAAGGAAAAGGGCAAGAAGGAGGCTCCTCACTGAAGGGCCCTGGACAGGGCTCATTAAACCTTCCTCTCTGCCTTCTGCGACTGATCAGCGCAGTGCCTGCTCCGGTCCGTCCCCAGTTCCCTGCCCCCTGCCCAGGGCTGGGCCCGCCCATCCCTGCACGCGGCCAAGGAGAGGCTGCCCACGCCATGCCCATCAGGGTTTATTGTTTCTGTAACAGCGGCCACGCCCTGGGGCGATGGCCTGTGCAGCTGGAGATCTCTCAGCACCTTGGGTTGGGGGCGGGGCTGGGCGGGACATGGGATGGAGGCGTCGCCTGTGGCCAGACAGGGTGGACCCCTGGGGCCTGCAGGCAGGAGATGAGTCCAGTGGCTCCCAGCAGCAGCAGCAGCAGCAGCAGCAGCAGCGGCGGCGGCGGCGGGAGGCTCCGCTCACCGCACCAGGTGGAAGGTGAGCCAGTACATGAGCAGAGGTTGTGCCGCTGCCACTGCCATGGTCAGGTACATGCGCAGCTGGTTCCGGGCCCCACGCACCGGGACCCCCTCAGCCGCTGCTTCTGCCAAGATCTTCAGCCGCAGCGTCCGGATCTGGGTGGGAAAGGGAGAGAGGAACCAAGGGGTTTACCCTTGAGTTCTCTGGGCCAGAGTGAGAGCCCCGACATACTTCCAGCCTCTGTCTAGAAGCCCCAGGCAGCCGGGGACAAGTCCCTGGCCCTCTGCAGCCTCAGGTTTCTGCTCCTGGGGCCTCAGTTTCCCCAAACCTCCTAACATGGTGAGGATTTGGGCCCTGTGGGCAAAATATGAGAAGGTTTGACACTCAAATGCCAGGCAAGGTCCGGGAGCGGTGAAGGGGGACTTCGAGGTGGACACCCGGCCTGAGGGGGTGGGAGACGTCGCCCTGGCTGCTGCTCCCCCTTATGCTGGTCACATGGCAGTTTCTGAAGACATGCCAGAAATGCTATCTTTATTTTTATTAAAGGACAGGGTCTCTGGCCTAGTGCGTTGGCTCACGCCTGTAATCCCAGCACTTTGGGAGGCCGAGGAGGGCGAATCACGAGGTCAGGAGATCAAGACTATCCTGGCCAACATGGTGAAACCCCATCTCTACTAAAAATACAAAAATTAGCTGGGTATGGTGGTGTTCCCTGCTTCTCAGGAGGCTGAGGCAGGAGAATCGCTCCTGTGAACCCAGGAGGCTGCAGTGAGCCGAGATCGCGCCACTGCACTCCAGCCTGGTGACAGAGCGAGACTCCGTCTAAAAAAAAAAAAAAAAAAAAATGGACAGGGTCTCACCCTGTCCACCAGGTTTGACTGCAGTGGCATGATCTCAGCTCACTGCAGCCTCAATCTTCCAGACTCAAGTGATCCTCCCACCTCAGCCTCTCGAGTAGCTGGGACTATAGGTACACACTGCCATGCCTGGCTAATTATTTAATTTTTTTAGAGATGGGGTCTTGCTATGTTGTCCAGGCTGGTATCAAGCTCCTGGCCTCCAGTGATCCTCCTGCCTCAGCCTCCCAAAGTGCTGGGATCACAGATGTGAGTTATGCGCTTGGCCTAAACTTTTAAATGATGAGACCTAAGTCAAAGTTTGCGTGAGGCTCTGCCCTGGCTCACCAGCCACCACGGTCTGCCCTCTGCTTCTCACATGTTCACAGTGAATCCTCCCAGCACCTTAAGGTGCAAGTATCATCCTCCTATTTTAAAATAGGGAAACTGAGTTTTTTTTTTTTTTTTTTTTGAGACAGAGTCTTGCTCTGTCACCCAGGCTGGAGTGCTGGGGTGCAATCTCAGCTCACCGCAACCTCCACTTCCCGGGTTCAAGCGATTCTCCTGCCTCAGCTTCCCGAGTAGCTGGGGCTACAGGCACACACCACCAAGCCCAGCTACTTTTTGTATTTTTAGTAGAGATGGGGTTTCACCGTGTTAGCCAGGATGGTCTCGATCTCCTGACCTCGTGATCCTTCTGCTTCGGCCTCCCAAAGTGCTGGGATTACGGGCGTGAGCCACCGCGCCCGGCAAAAGGGGAAACAGTTTAAAGAAAGGAAGTGATTTGCCCAGGATCCAACTAAACTTGGGGTCCACCCAGCCTGCAGACCCCAGTGCTCTTCACCAGCACCCCTGACTCTAGCAGGAAGGGCTCTAGAGAATCTCCTTCCAGGGAAATTCTGGCAGGAAAGCCCCCATGCAAGGAGAGTGGAATGAGGGTGAGAGCCCAGCCTGGAGCCTGTGTGCTGGGGATCCCCAGCCTCTAGCAGCCTGGGTGGGATCTCCTCTTCCAGGGCTCAGGATACCCCCTCTTCCAGGAAGCCCTCCTGACCCCCCCAGCTGGGCAGCCACTCCAGGGCTCTTCAGTTCAGCAATGTGTCTCTGGTCTGAACCCCACACCTGACATCCTCTTCTTGGATGCCTCCGGGGCACCTGTGCCCTCAGCCTCACCAGCCCCGAGCCCCTGCTCACCATGAACACAAAGATGGCCACACAGCACCAGCCCAGCACCAGGTAGTAGCCAATCTTCCCGAAGAGCAGGCCCATGAGGACCCCGCCAATCATCCTGGGGGAGGGAGAGGAGGCTGTGTGAGGACAAGGCCCAAGGGCTGGGGCTGGCATGAAGGGCGGGCGTACTCACCCGACATACTTGTAGCCCAAGAAGGCCACCAGGTCGATGGTGGTGAGGTCGGTGTTGACAGTGACCAGATAGAGGCTGAGCAGGATGGCCACCACCTCCAGGGTCAGCCAGGCCAGGGCTGAGCTCGCCTGCAGCCCTAGGAGGTCTGGGGAGAACCTGCAGGCACCAAGTCCCGCCACTTGGTTGGCTGGTTCAGACCTCCCACCCCCAGCACCCGCCTGGGGACAGCCCTGTGTTGGGTAGGGCTGGACACCCGGCAGTGACCAAGATGGACCTGCACGCTATCCTATTCTCATGGAAATCCCATCCAGGGAGGACGGCAGACCCATCCCTAGACAGTGACACCCAGAGCGGGCAGGGCTGGAGTCACAGGGGGCTGTGCCTGACAGTCAGGAGGCAGGTGTCAGAGAGGGCTTCCCAGGAGAGGGGACACCAAGCTGAGGCCTGCAGGAAGGAGCTGGTCAGGGACAAAGCCTTCGGCCTCTGCCATATCCCCAGGGCTTCACCAGTTAGTTAATGACAGATGTGTTCAGTGTCACAAAGGAAAAGAACAGGGCAGTGTGAGCAAGAGGAGGGGCCTGACCTAGCCTGGGGGGCAGGAAGGCTTCCTGGAGGAGGTGACACTGGAATGGAGCCAGCGGGAATGCACAGGTACTCGGCAGTAGTGGAGGGGAACACGCTCCCAGGCAGAGGGAAGTTGATGTGACAAGGCCCCAGGAGACAGCGCCAGCCCTCCTGAGGAAAGGAACGGACAGAAGCGTGCAACGGGAGGGGCAGTGCAGGGCTGAGGAGCTGAGGCTTGATCGGGAGCCATGGATAGTAGGGTGGAGTAGGGTGGGCTGTGGCCAGGCTCACACCTCAGACAGGACCATCCTGGCTGCTGCTGGAGTAGGGGTGCAATGGGGAGCTGGTGACGACAGAGCAAGGATGAGGATGGGTCTGGTAGCAGAGGCCAAGAGGAAGGGTGGATGGAGAGGGTCGCCCAGCACAGGGTGTGGTGACACAATGCACATGGGTAGGAAGGAGAGGGAAAAGGCGAGGGTGATGCTGATGGTGACCCTGAGGGCTGTATCTTGGGCCAACTGGGAGCAAGGTGGGGCTGTCCTGAGAGGGGAACTGAGACCTTGGAACTGAAACCTTCCTGACCAACCATGGGCCTCCCAAACCCCACCCTACTTGGCCTGCCCCAGGCCGCCCTTACCTATCCTGGGTCCCCAGCGCAAGACCAGCCACCAAAACGTAGGTGATGAAAGCCATCGCTGTGGGAGGCAGACACACAGACACTGGTCACCAGAAGAAGAACTGCCCTGGGCCTCCAGACACCCACACACCCACCCCAAACAGGCCCGGAAGAGAGAGGAGGGTGCAGGGTAGAGGGAGGGTGAAACCTGGAATGTAGAGGTCCGGGGCATTGACGTCAAAGCGGGGGGCCACCGGGGTGTCCTGTTGGTACTGCACCTCCCAGTCCTGCGGGGATGGGGAGATGGGCAGGACCCTCAGAACCAGGTCCCTCCTACCCTGCTACAGGCCCTCCTCCCTCGAGGTGAATCTCCTGGCCCCACCACACATCTGCCCCCACCCCTGAGCCCCCACAGGCCCACCGCAGACCCACATTCCCCTGGGGGTGCTGACCTGGTGCAGGTAGGGGAAGAACAACAGGCCCAGCTTTCTGCCCACATACATGGTGTCCACAGCAAAGTAATACTTGAGCTTGGTGACAGGGATGAAGCGGTCAATCTGGGGAGGCAGAGCTCAAGCCTGAGTGCCCGTGGCCCCGTGCGTCCCCCAACTCCCGCCAGCCCCGGCCACTTACGTTCTTATCCACCAGCTCCTTGCCCTGCGCGGCCAGGCTGCTCCCATAGGCCATGGCCATGTTGGACACTGGGTCAGCCAGGAAGGCTGCCTGGGGCGTGGCAGAGGCTGCAGGATAGCCTAGGCCGCCAGGTGCCCGCTGGGCCCCATAGCCCCGGCTCTGGGTTGAACTTGTGTCATCGAAAAGCTGGTGGGGGTCGGCCATGCCCGGCTGGGACACAGGGATCCTCCGCTTTGAGGCTGCAAGGGAAGAGGGTGGGGAGACCCTGGGGTTCCAGGATAGGTAAGGGAGGCCTGGTGAGCCTCATTCATCCTGCAGTTCTGCCTCCTGCTCCTATTGAGAGGAGGGTGGTGTCACCATTAGAGACACTAGCTTTGACATCAGATGGACTGGCAGGTGCAGCCTCTGCCATTCATCCATCGACCCACCCATCTAGCCAACTATCCATCCACTGATACACTAATCTATGCATCCATTCATCTACCCACCCATCCATCTACTCATCCATCCATCCACCCACCCACTCGCCCACCCATCCACATCTATCCTTCCAACTACCCATTCATCCATCCACCCACCCATTCATCCATCCACCCATCCATTCATCCATCCATCTATCCACCTATCCATCCATCCATCCACCCACCCATCTAGCCAACTATCCATCCACTGATGCATTCATCTGTCCATCCATTCATCCACCCATCCATCTATCCATCCACCCTCCCACCCATCAATCCATCCACCATCTATCCATCCACCCTCCCACCCATCAAGCCATCCATTCATCCATCCGCCCACCCATCCATCCATCCATCCACCCTCCCACCCATCAATCCATCCATTCATCCATCTGCCTACCCATCCATCCATCCACCCACCCACCCATCAGTCCATCCATTCATCCATCCACCTACCCATCCATCCATCCATTCATCCATCCACTTACCCATCCATCCATCTATCCACCCATCTGTCCATCCACTCATCCATATATCTATCCACCACCCATCTAGTTAACTATCCATCTACTGATGTATCATCCATCCACCCACCTACCCATCCATCCATCTATCCATCCACCTATCCACCCCCCACCCCCATCCATCCATCCACTCACCCATCCATCCACCTACCCATCCATCCATCCATCTATCCATCCATCCAGCCATCCACCCACCCATCCATCCACCTATTCATCCACCCATCCATCTAGTCAACTATCCATCCACTGATGCATTCATCTTTCCATCCATTCATTCATCCATCCATCCATGCATCCATCCATGCATCCATCCATCCACTCATCAAGCTATCTACCATTCACCAACCCACTCATCTATCCACCTACCAACGCACTCATCTATCCACCCATCCATCCATCATCCATCCATCCACCCAGCCATCCATCCATCTATCCAGCCAGCCAGCCAGCCAGCCAGCCAGCCAGCCAGCCAACTATCCATCCATTGATGCATTCATCTATCTGTCCATTCATCCACCCATCCATCCATCCACCAACCCATTCATCAATCTATCCATCCATCCATGCAACCATCCATCCATCCATCCATCCACCCACCCATCCACCCACACATCTAGCCAACTATCCATCCACTGATGCTTTCATCTTTCCATCCATCCGTCCATCCATCCATCCATCCATGCACTCACCAAGCTATTTATCCATCCACCAACACATTCATCTATCCACCCATCCATCATCCATCCATCTAACCATCCATTCACCCACCCATCCACTTATCTGATGATGATTATCTCAAAAGCTACTACGTACGGCGGGGAGGAGGGGCTATTGGGTACAAAATCCTGTACCAAGCCTTTTACACAAGGCCTCTGTGCATATCTCCCATGCTCCCCCTCAATCACTTGACTCCAGCCACCTGCGCCTCCCAATGCTCACTGAACGCACCCGGAAGGTGCCTGCCTCAAGGCCTCTGCACCAGCTGTGCCTCTGCTTGCAACGTTCTTCCTCCAACGTCCTCAGGGCTCCCTCCTCTCCTCTTTGAGGGCTTTGCTCAGTGAGGCCTTCCCCAGCCATCCTGTCTACAACCGTACCTCCCTTGGTGGCACTCCCCACCCCCTGCCCTGCTTCACTGATAGCCTTAGAACTCGGCACCAGCTGACATGCTGGCTGTCTTATTTTGTTCACTGTCTCCCCCACTCGAATGTGAGTCCCCCAAGGTGGGGATCTTGATCTCGTTCACAGCTGAGTCCCCAGCCCCTTGCACAGGGTTAGAGTAGGCGCTTGATAAAAATCTGATCAATGAATAAAGGTAGCCTGGGCAACATGGCGAAACCCCATCCCTGCAAAATATAGAAAGATTAACTAGGCGTGGTGGTTCACACCTGTGGTCCCAGCTACTCGGGAGGCCAAGGTGGGAGAATCGCTTAAGCCTGGGAGGCAAAGGTTGCAGTGAGCCAAGATTGCACCACTGAACTCCAGCCTGGACAACACAGTGAGACCCTGTCTCAAAAAAAAAAAAAAAGAGAGAATAAATGACCACCCCCAATTTACAGGTGTGGAAACCAAGGCCCAGACAGCTAAAATGACTTGTGCAAAGGGCCAAACTGAGTGAGTGGCAGAGCAGGAGTCCAGCCCTGCTATGCCTGATAAATATTACAATAATCCTGTAGATGAACTCATTTCATCTTCACAACCACCCTGTTTCTGCCAACTGCCAATGCTATCATCATCCCCATTTTACATGAGAAAAGCAAGCCCTAAAGAGGCTCAGGCCCTTGCCCAAAGTCATAGTATGAGAGCCAGGTTTCAAACAATTTTAAAAGGTCCCTGTGGCCTCATATGGGGAACAGATGAGGGGTGGGCAGGGAAGGGAGAGAGGAGGCTGCTGGGGCAGTCCAGGTGGGAGACCACGGCAGACAGGACTGGGGGTGTAAAAGTGGAATGGGTTATTTCTGGATCAGTTTCAGAGCTAGAAGGGACAGGACTTGCTGAGGTGTGCTCAGAGGAGGTGTGTTAAGAAGTGGGAAGAGGCCGGGCGCAGTGGTTCATGCCTGTAATCCCAGCACTTTGGGAGGCCGAGGCAGGCGGATCAAGAGGTCAGGAGTTCAAGACCAGCCTGGCCAACATGGCAAAACCCCGTTCCTACTAAAAATATAAAAATGAGCTGGGCATGGTGGTGCATTCCTGTAATCCCAGCTACTCTGGAGGCTGAGGCAGGAGAACTGCTTGAACTGGGACGAGGGCGGGTCGGGGGGGAGGGCGCGGGCGGAGGTTGCAGTTAGCCAAGATCATGCCACTGCACTCTGGCGTGGGCTACAGAGCGAGACTCCATCTCAAAAAAAAAAAAGTGGGAAGAGGCTGGGCATGGTGACTCACGCCTATAATCCCAGCACTTTGGGAGGCCAAGACAGGCAGATCACTTTAACTCAGTTCAAGACCAGCCTGGCCAACATAGTGAAACCCTATCTCTACAAAATACAATATAGCAGGGCATGGTGGCACGCACCTGTAGTCCCAGCTATTTGGGAGGCTGAGGTGAGAGGACCTGGGTTGTCAAGGCTGCAGTGAGCCAAGATCGCACCACTGCACTCCAGCCTGGGCAACAGAGTGAGAGTCCGTCTCAAAAAAAGAAGTGGGAAGAGCCAATACTGTCTCTATAGATCCCGGTTTGAGTAATGGGGCAAGTGGAAGTGCTCTGTACTTCCACTTTCTCTGTATGGAGAAAATGGGAAGGGCAGGATTTGAACCCAGCACTCTGCCTCCAGGGCCTCTGCTCCTAATCAATAACCAATGCTATCCTGCAAATATCTGCTGAGATCCTACTATCTGCCTGGCACTATTGCAGGCACAGGGAATGGGTGATCACATGACAGTGGGAATGGGGACAGGAATAGAATTATCCACATCATGATTTTCTCTGCACCTGGATGTTCTCCTCTACACAATGGAGTTAACTGTCCCACCTTGCAAAGCTGTTGTGACACTCATAAACTCCTTGGCCTCATAAAAAGCAGTCCATCCATGTCACTCCTGATCAGCTACTAGCCTCGAACTCTTCCTCTCAATTATTCGTAGCCTGAAGACAGACCCAGGTCTCCTCAATTCCAAGGCAAGCAGCACTGGCCCCAGCCTCTCCGCAAGCCCCACTTCCCTTTTCTTTCCCCCACTACTTCTTTTTTTTTCAGACAGAGTCTCGCTCTTGTCGCCCAGGCTGGAGTGCAATGGCGCGATCTCGGCTCACTGCAACCTCCACCTCCCAGGTTCAAGCAATTCTCCTGCCTCAGCCTCCTGCATAGCTGGGATTATAGGCGCACACCACCACGCCCAGGTAATTTTTGTATTTTTAGTAGAGACAAGAGTTTCACCATTTTGGGCAGGCTGGTCTTGAACTCCTGAGCTCAAGTGATCTTCCTCACTCCTCACTGGAACACACTAGCCCCGCCTGGCTCCTTCTCATAACATGCGGTGCTTTCTTTTTCTCTTCTGAGCACTCATAATAATTTCTTTTTTTTTTTTTTTTTTTGAGACGGAGTCTCTCTCTGTCGCCCAGGCTGGAGTGCAGTGGCACGATCTCGGCTCATTGCAAGCTCCGCTTCTCGGGTTCACGCCATTCTCCTGCCTCAGCCTCCTGCGTAGCTGGGACTACAGGCACCCGCCACCGTGCCCGGCTAATTTTTTGTATTTTTAATAGAGACGGGGTTTCACTATGGTCTCGATCTCCTGACCTTGTGATCCGCCCGCCTCGGCCTCCCAAAGTGCTGGGATTACAGGTG